GGAAGAGCTCCTGTTTCCCGGCGTGCCCCGCGCGCTCCTTTCCGGCCGGTGCCCGGGCAGGGTGAGTGTGGGCCGGGGCCGCTCCGCCGAATCCGCCTCCATCCGCCCCGCAGAGCCCACGGCGCGGCGCCAATGCGGCTCGGCCCAGCACGGGGGGCGGCCCGGCACGGGGGCCCCGGTTGGGATCTCCCGGCGCGTCCGCGTTCGGCGGGAATGGGGCCTCTCCCCTACCCGCCCCGGGCCCGGGAGGCCTGCGGGACTCATGGGACGGGGATATAGCCCGTGCTGTTGCCCCGGGAAGGAGTCCGTCTGGCCCCTCATGTGCATCCCGGGACGGGCTGAGCTGCCCTCCTGGGTCGCCTTGCAGAGGGAGGGGGCTTGGGGCTGGCCAGGATGTTAGTGCGAGGTGGTCCAAGAGTCTCGGATGTGCTTCCTGCTCTTCCCGGGGGCTGGAAGTAAAGCATCTGTGGTGCTGGGAAGTTGCTGCGTGAAGCCTGCGACTGGTGCGACCCCGGGGGTTAATGGCGCTTGGGTTTGAGTTTCTACATGAGGGAGTTGTGCGGTTTGCGATAGGCTGGGGACGGGGAAGGTGCGAGATGTGCGTCTGATGTGTGCGCGGTGCCTTTCAGCGTCGCTGAGATGGCTCCCGCAAAGAAAGGCGGCGAGAAGAAGAAGGGGCGCTCTGCCATCAACGAAGTAGTAACTCGGGAATACACCATCAACATTCACAAGCGCATCCATGGCGTGTAAGTTCTTTCCATCAGCGAAATTTGCCTTCTGTGAAGTGGCATTGGGACATGGGTTCGGTAGGTTTAAAGAGCAGAGAAGGACTTTCCTTAGAGTGTTGTGTTTGTGTTCCCTTGTGCCTCTGTTGTGTCCCGAGGTACAGACCTGTGCAACCCCCAGCTTGGCTTGTGGCTTTCAGGAATAAGCCTGTTTCTGTGACTGTGAGTGTTCTGGGACTTAAGCTAAAGTTAGATCAGTTTACTTCTGTCATTCTTTCCCAAGCAAATGCCTAAACTTCAGCCCACTGAGAAAGTTCCAGAAATTAAATACTCCTGTAGTCAAATTATTGGTTTCATGTTTATCACAGAATTGTGTGAGGTGTAAACTGGGATATGATTTGTGTTAAGAGATACTTGTTGTGTGTAGGTAAGAGTAGCTTTTTGATTGACCAGATGCTGAAGCTCATGAAGCTGTAGTGGAGAAGTGCTTCAGAGGAAGCTGCAGTGCCCTTGCATTCCGTGTGTGTGCCTGCATGCACAGGGAAGGCACCATCCAAATCCAAACAATTGGTGCAGTGGCTGACATGGAATAGGGGAGAAATGAGGCAGTAGAGCATTGCAGAACCGTGGCTGGGAATGGGAGACAGTGGTGCTCTGGCAATACAATGTTCTGGCCTTGCCTGTTGGTTGGCACTTCGTTCTGTTTTAATGCTGGTGATCTGCTGACCACCTTTCTTTTTGGGCATGATATGCTGGAGTTAAATGCTTTTTATTTAATGCTTGTCTCACTTGTGATCAAGTACCCACTTCCCATTTCTAGCTCAAAGTATCAACAGCAGTGTGCACATAATATAACTGGATATAACCCACTGTGGGACCTCAGGCACTACTGGCACAGCCCCTGTCACAGTGTGGGTTTAATAAATATGACAGAACACTCATGGTGCAGCTCTTAGTTCTGCTGTGAATGCCCAGTCCTGCAGGACCTGGCCATAATGGGCATGGAACAGGCTGTACTGGAGGAGAAAAACAGTTCTGGTGGTGGTGTTGGTGCAGTCCTGATAGTGTAATAGAAGGTAACTATCAGGTACTGTTCAGCAAAAGCTGATATTCAGAATAACATCAGTTTTGTTCTTCTGCTGTTTATTTCAATACTGATACAGTTCTGTCATGGTTATGTTTATGATACTGTTGTGCTGCTTTGCTCATAGGGGTTTTATTCAGTGTGTCTGTGACATCTCTGAGCTCTTCAGTGTTACTGAGATACTCAAAAGTGTTGACATTAAAATGAAGGCTTAAGATCCAGGAGATTTTTGTGGTTGCAAAATTTTACTGAAATTATTCTCCCTAAGTGGTTTCTATTGAAGTTAGCGTCTGCCTGCCAGGGTGAAGGTCTGCTCAGGCTGGTGCAGCTGTTTGCTGTTCAGCACAGTGCTTTGGGGGGTTTTCTGTTGGGAGAACACAAGGAACAAGTGTCTAGTGCTGACAGTGTCCTGAAGTTAAAGAAATGGCTCTTGTGTTTGTCCCAGGGGCTTCAAGAAGCGAGCACCTCGCGCCCTCAAGGAAATCCGGAAGTTTGCCATGAAGGAGATGGGTACTCCTGACGTCCGCATTGATACCAGACTGAACAAAGCAGTCTGGGCAAAGGGAATAAGGTGGGTTTTTGCAATTTTCTTTACTGGCTGAGGAAAAAAACCAACATGAAGGATTAGGAAAAAACTGAATACTTCTTGCAGTATTTATGTTTTCTTTGCAAGTGCCTTCTTCTTGTGGTGTACACACCAACCTAATCTGTCACCTCTGTGTTCTGGTCAGCTGTCCTGGCATATTTGTAACAAAGCTTTGGTAAACTCTGGGATTGAAAGAATTTCCTTCTACTTTTAATAAAAATAATGCAAGGGAAAGAGGGAGTGCAGGTTTGGGGGTTGAGGGCAGGGAAGAGAAAGGATTGGGGTATTGTAATACTGTAGTACCTTGGTCCCTGTTGCAGCCGATAGTTTTTATAAACCTGACTTTGCAGTGATAGCTACAATCCCAGGCTGAGTGGGATTGTGCAGTGTGTCTAAACAGGATTAGGTTTTGAAGCATGCTGCACAAAAGGAGGTGTATTTTCAACAGGACCAATAATCTTTTCTTGACACTACAAATAAGTAGTTTGGGGACCAAAAACTACTTGTGTTAAATCACTGCTACCAAGGCAGCTGATATGACATGTGTTAAGATGGTCCAGCAGAACTCCTGTGGGGGGTGGGACCTTTTAAACTGTACTAAAAGGTTAACTGGTTGGGATTGGTGCTTTGAGAGATGCACATGGGTTTAAACCATGTCTTTTGGGAGTTAGATCCCTAAGTCTGGTCTATGACATCCATAGAGTGCTTTGCCTGGCATCATGTGGCCAACCATTCCTTGAAAAGCAGAGTGGGAGGATGAGACTGAGTTACTGGGTATTACTGGCAGGGGTTCTGTGTCCTCCCTGTTAAACTGCCCAGTTCATGGGGAGTGACAGTGGAACCAGGAGACAGCACACATAACCCCAGGGCTTTGCAGTGAGGCTGCTAACCAAGACTGCCTCGTATTGACCGGTGCAGGTGCAGTCTGTGGAGCAAGGAGTCACCACATCAGTCTTTCCAGTGTGAATCTGCAGTTTTTACTAGGTAGAATCCATATTGTATGCAAAGTAAGGTATCTTGCTCTGGAAGGATCAGCAGAGGCTAAAATCACCATGTTGGCTGGTGAGAAATGCTTTTGATTTTGACAGGAAGGGAACAAAGCAAAGCCAGTTGCTGTGTCTAAGTGCTATGTCCACCTGATGTAATAAGTATGTTTTTTAAAAGGCTGTTCTTGCAGCAGGGAGGAGGAGCAGGTTCCTTCACATAGTACTCTGAGCAGGAGTCTCCTAAAATCTTGAGTTCAGGGTGGCAGGTTATGTGGAAAATGGTGTAGAGAAAAAATTCTGTGCCTCCTCTCAGCAGCACATTTTGGGCATTACTAGGCAAGGAAACTAAGCTGTGATTTGCCTATTACAAACAAAATTATTAAACAATTCAGTTAACAATTCCATGGTCTTTGTGAGGAAGAAATGATGATCAGTTTTGTGCCCTTAAGTAAGATCTTGGTTCAGGCATGATGCTCACTAGAATTTCCACAGCTTCTGGCATAAAGATAGGCAATACTCTTAAGTTTTGACAGAAGCCTTGGGCTTTCCGGGTAGATTGTTGGGGTTCTTCCTCACTATTTTATACTGTGGTAAGAAATGCTTGTAATGAACAGCTGCTTGCTGGTCATGTTCACTTGGTGATCATCTTCAAGGTGCGTTTCCTCAGTAGTGGACTGATGATGCACTTCTGACTTTATGCTCCTACTGGACTATGAATTCATCTTACTCAAGGCTCAGTTTAATCTTACCTGCTAACTTGAATAAAACCAAGCAAAACAAACAAAACAGTTCCTCTAAGGCAAACAATACAGTCTCTTAAGGTACAAGATTTTGCTCTTGGTATGCTGCTGAGAAAGAATTCTGCTATGAATCCATGGGTTTCAGTACACACTTCACTGCAAATTAATCTGCCATCTTCATTTCAGGAATGTTCCTTACCGTATCCGTGTGCGCTTGTCCAGAAAGCGCAACGAGGACGAGGATTCACCCAACAAGCTGTACACCCTGGTTACCTATGTACCAGTCACAACATTCAAAGGTAAGGAAGGTTCATGCATCTCCCATGCCATGTGTGTGAACAAGAAGCAAAGCAGGACAGCTCCTCCTGCAGTGCAAAATTCAGATGAAAAGCATGCTGCAAGAGTCAAACCACGGGCTTAACCTAGCTTTGCTGTAGGGAACAGGACTCCCTGATCCACATCAAAAAGGAGTGAAACAATTGTGTAAATTTTGAGAGCACAGGCCATGGTCACTAGGGAAGTCCCTAAGCCCATCCTCTGCTGTTAAAAGCTCAGGCAGGTTAAGCCCTCTCTGCTTGTCATCTGATAAAAATCAATTCTGTAAATGCAACTAAGTTTTTGTTTTAGGCTTTGCAGAAATACCTGTCTATAGAGTTTGCTCTTCCAGAAGTAGGTCAGCAGACTACCCTTGAAAATGTACTTTCTTGTGAAGACTTCAATATATATGACAGGTGGTGGTCTTGTTTTGCAGGTCTACAGACAGTCAATGTGGATGAAAATTAAATGGATTTCCATTACAATAAAAACATAAAATATATTCTTCAGTTGTTTTTTTTTATTGTCCAATCTTTTCAAGCTCTCAACCATGGTTCATCTCAACCATGAAGCACTGAGTTGAACAGGTACCAGTCTTTAAAATATCTTGCTTTCTTTGAATTTGAACATAAAGGTGTAATTTTCTTAAAGATACATGAGATTTCTCTTACATGTGAATGAAATAAGGAGGAGATTCAAATGTTCTTTGTGGGTGGCAGAGTTGTGGTGGGTTTGTTTTGTTCTGGGTATTAAAGAGCCTTTACACAGGTATTTTAAGTTAAGTTCAGTTTGTTTAAAAACAAAATAAGAAAACCTCAACCAAAACTGCTAGATCAATATTTCATGTATGTAATCTCATGTGAATGATGTGCCCCACTGGCCTCTTAGGCAGACTCAGTAGGCTTCTCCCAAAGCAGCTCTGTGTACAACACAGAAACAGGGTTTTGATTAGTGAAATAACTGTGATCATGCTACCCCAGGGGATTTGTTTAAAGCTGTAGGGACTAAAGGCACTTAGCTTCCCTAAACCAGTAAATACTGTCAATGCCACTTTTGTACAAAAAGGGTTTATTGAAAAGTGCATGTTTTCACAGACGAACATCAGAAGCACAGTCCATGTACACTTAACATTTCAGCAAGACATAAAAATTGGGATACAATCAAATATATTAAAATAGTTTCAATTACCAGCATTGAAACAGTTTTCAGTATTAGTGCAAAAAAAGGCAACCGAAAGAAACTGGACAGCAGATGAGGAGTGTTTTCCCTGCTTAAAAAAAGAAAGAACTGGAGCCAGCCTCTGCTCTCCCAATGCAGAAGAGGGCTTCAGTTCTTCACACTGTAGACAGATGTTTCCTTTTACATTCAGAACAAGAACATAGTAAGTCAATGGCACAAAACAAACCTACACACCCTTTTAGCTTTTAAAGCTCTTAAACTGAAAACCACAGACCAACAAATTGGATACCAGAAGTCCACTGCCAACTGCAAGCCTTTTACAGTATGTCCTTTGGCATAATTTCAGTGCATTTCATTTTTGATATATTTGCTGCTACTGCATGTTTGGTTTTGCATGTTCACTCCGTGACTGGCAGCTCATTCCATTTGTTCTGAGACTGTACTGATTTAGCTTTGCATTCTCAAGCTTTGGTTTCAGTTCTAAGGGTTTTTCAAAGAAGTTAACTAATGATTGTTCAGTCAAGAGGGATGCTAAAATATGTTCAAAAGAGACAGTCCAGTCCCCTTCAGTCACAGGTGAAGGCTGAGAGTCTTTGTGAGGACTCTTCACAGTGTCAGTAAAAACAGCATCCTGCTCTGAAGCAGAGGCCTCGGGCTGCAAGTCCTCGCTGAACTCGTCTGAGCCGCTCCCCAGGCTGAGGCTCCTCTGTCCTACCTCTCCAATCTGAAGTAACAGTGTGGTCACAGTGGCAATGGCTTGATACAAATCGTTCTCCTCTGGATCTTCATGAAACATGCTATACAACGTTTTGCAGAACTGAATGAACTCCTTCTGTAAAAGGATGAAAAACCAGCATCAAAGTCCTGAACAGCCACGCTAAGGATCACTGCAGGAGTCAGGCAGGGCACGGGAGTGCAGAGGCAGGTGGAGTGCTGCGTACATTTATATGTTCTTTTATAACTTCTGCCTGCTTTTAAAAAGCTGTTAGAGAAAGGATTTCAACCCCCAGTGGTGCTAGGAAACCCTGTGCTGAAATCAAAAAGGGAAGAGGGCAGAGAAGTATTTTGATGCCCTGATGAAGGAAATCAGGACCTACCAGATGATGTACGGGCAAGTGAGAGACAAGGCAAGGGAAAATCCCTTATTGGTGGCTGCGACACAGTGGGTTACAACCAAAGTAGCCATCCACAGGCCTGCAGGCAAGCTTCCCTTCTGTTTCTCTCCCCTCTTTCCAGCTCTTCTAAAACAATTCAAGAGATCTTCCCTGCCCAGCTCCTTTTGTCTCTGCCTTGCTCACCCATTTCAGGTGGTTATCAGAGGATGTCTCCATGTATCCTGTCAGGAGAGCTGCGAGCCCTCAGTGACATGATGCTATGACGAGATCATGAGCCCCTCTAGAGCTGACAGGTACATGCCACCCATTTAAAACTTCATTTAGCAGCACAAGCACAGAAGGGATTCTGGGGGCAGTTCCATCTTTCTTTGCACATCTGTACATTTGTATTATTAGCATGGGGCCTTTTCCCTCCAGTAGCTTTCCTTATGCCATCAACACAGAAAGCTACTGAGCTACTGGCATTAGGAAACAGATGGTAAGACTGACAGCCTTCAGCTGTCTTCTCCAGTTCCAGTCAGTGTTTGGCTAAGACAGGGCAAGTTCCAGGTGTGGTGGACTAAGAAGTTACTGCTTTGGTGCAGAGAAGGTATGAGAAAACAGAATAAAAATGTGCATTCTGGGGAATTCTTTGGCTTAGGAGGAGGCCTTTTTCCAGCCTGCATAAGCCTGTTTGCTTGCATGTTCTGCTGCAGGTGAGGGTGACTGAAATTCTATTCACCAGCCAGTCTGAGCAGAGGGAACTGTTAATAAGGTAGTTTTTTGAAAGTTTTTAAACACCTGCTCTCTCAATCAGAGGAGCCCGATCCTCAATGCTTGAAGGACTGAATCCAAGTTCAGTTGTACTGCAGTTATACTTCATGAGACAGAGCCAAACTGTTGAATTCAATAATTTCATTTTCAGTACACTTCTTTAAAAACAGTACAGCCTCTGAAGTACATACCTGGCTCATTTTTGGCAATTCCTTTTCAGTTTTAGTATCCTTTTCTTTGGCTAGATCCTTCAGCATCTGCTTCAGTTGCTTTTGGTAATCTACTGCATCACCTTTTTTGGAGCAGACATAAAAAGGATAATTAATTTTCAAGTCATGGAGTAAATTTACATTTCCAAATAAACCTCAGAGAGCAGAGATAACATGGTAGGGATCACAAGGGGAAAGTTGGTTATCTCATGCACTCAGATGAGAGAGCCATTCTGGACATACCATTTGATTTTCCAATGACCAGTGGTCTTGATGTTGACAGCAAAGGATTCTTTAATGGTGACTGGCTGTCTCGTTCATTTTCTGTGAGAGCTATCCAAGAAATGTGACAAATTTAATCCTTTGAATTAGACATAACAGTAAGTTATTTTTCTAAAATTTGCATACCTGATGAAAGCGAAGTGATTGTGCAAAGATGTTTTGCAAACGCTTTCAAGGAATGTCATTGAATCATACTGTAAAATGTTCTTGTAAAATTGGTGCTGCACTTGGAAGCTTGCCAAGAACTGCACATTTAATTAAAAACTTTGCACAGAGGAACTACCACAGAATTTTGTCACCTAATCAAAACTGGATCAAGATATACAAGGAGATGTCTAGTGTACATGGACTACAAGGCACTCAAAAACATTATTTCAGTTCGTATTTTGTCTGTAAGTAACCATATAATTGGCTGCAAATGATCTCTGAATGCAACAGATGTGTGAGCTTTGACATTGTAATCTAAACATTTCATCCAAAAAGCTTCCATTTGTACTTAATGGAGTAATGTGTCAAATGCAGTGAGTCTAAGTACAAATGCACATCCTGTATGCTCCAAGCTGAAAGGAAGCAAGATGGGGTTCTTCATTAAGCAGCTTCTTCCCAAAAGCAAGAGATTTTTTTGGGAAACTGAGTTATTAATTTTCTTTCAGATTTCTTACCTGGTGGGATATGCAGCTTATATAGTAACTTTATCTTTTCATTCATTTCTCCATTATACATAACATCTGCAAGGAAAGTAAAGAACAAGGAGGAAGTGAACCAGAGCATTTACTTCCACAGTTTTAAATGAATCAGGTACCTCTCTGTGCACAAAGGACTATTGTTTACATGGACAATAAACATATGGCCAGTGTTTAACTTCATGTTGTGCCTGTCAATGAGGAACAGCAGGTGACAGCCATCTGTTTGGTCTTTGTCCTTGTGAAACAGACTGGGAGCACCTCACCCTATGGAGCTTCAGCATCATTTAAAAATATCAAGGAGGGTGGCAGGGAATCTAGTAAAGGCTGTTTGCTGCCACAGGTTTACAGAAGTGTGAGGGGGGGAGACAGATAATGTTGGGGACATTATACATATTCATATGTATGATATTCTTACACAGTATTTCTCCCCTTCAGCCCTCACTGCTGTTCTATAGGGTAAGCCCAAAGGAGGTAACTATTTCACATGTAATATAATTCACATTTTCAATGACCAGTAAAAATTAGATTCTAAACTTTCAAATGTACTCAAAAACTGTGGAGAACTTTAAATTAAAAGTTGTATCCCTCTAAGAATCAAATAAAAAGAGAATACAGGGTGCTTTAGTGCTCACATTAAAAAACCTAAAAATCCTAAGTGCAAATACAAAATCACTGATTTTTACTGAAGCTTTGAATTTCATTTTTCTCCATGTGAGGTCAGACATCCATTGAGATCTGCCACTTTCTCTCAGCCACATTTTGGACAGGCAGTTTTACCTATTAGGACAGCTGGTGGTCTCAAGACCAACCCTAGCACAGCCCTCAGACACTTCTGGCCCGATTTTTTTTGTTCTGCTTACTGCCAACATGCACGGCAGGCAGCAGTCAGCTGTGTAAGGTTAAGTCAGCAAGAAGCAGTTTCAAAGAGGTACATTGAGATTTCAGAGGTATACCCAGAGCAAAGACTCAGTAGAGAGGATTTCCCAGCATTCTGTGCAGACCCAAATACAATTCTTCACTCATACAAGATTTTCAATAAAATAACTATTGTCTGAGAAATCAAATATTCTAATACAACATTCAATCACGTCCTCAGGCTGTCTCTTAAACCCAATTGACTTCAGATGATTGAAACACAAAAAGAATGAGTAAAGGTCACTGATACAAGGAATTACACATAGGGGGATAGAATGTAAGAAAATAAAGATAGTGTAGAAAGTAATCTTACCCCTAAGGAGTTGCAGCTGGGCCAATTAACAAAGATAAGGAAGAGGCCTGACTTTAACAGGCCACAGCTGTAACCAATGAGAAGAAGAGTGCTATAAAAGAGTGGGGTGGCTGGCTGAGAAGGGAAATGGAGTCAGTTGGCTGCCTTTGTGAGGAAGAAAGAGTCAGTGCTTGGAGGAGCTGCCCACAAGAAACACCAAGAATGTATGAAGCCTTTTGCAATAAGGAGTCAACAGTATGGAACCCCTGCCGTAAGATGACAACAATTACAAGCCCTAGAAACCACGCTCTGTGCCAGTGACATGGCATTTTACCACTGCTGTCTCCCCCTGTGCCAACCCCAGCTCCGTCCCCGGCCCAGCCGGTACCCAAGCAGCTGGCGAGCGCCTTGAACTCGATGAGTTGGTCCATGTTGTCGTCCAGCAGGCGGAAGGTCCTGTGGGCCAGCAGCTCGGTGTGCTCCCCGCAGGTCCAGGGCGAGAGCAGGCGGAACAGGCTGGCAAACTGCTGGGCGTCGATGCGGTACTGCTCGGCGTACGGCCGGCTCGGGTCGTGCCGCTCCGGCACCGCGCTGCCGCCGGCCCAGTAGCACCTGAGCAAGTGCTCCCGCTAGGAGAGATGGACACACACAGCGGTTGTTGTGGGGCACGGTAGCAGAAAAAGGTATTCACACCAAACTGCACTGGAACGTGCTCAAAAATTGCTCTGCAAGATGTCATCGTGATACCAAGACCATTCTTGTGGGAAAAAGCAAATCTTTCATCCGAGCAGCCAGCCCCTCTCACAATTTCCAGTGGATAATTAATAAATATGAAGTGAGACAGGGCAGATTCTTGAAAAAAAAAAAAAATCAGTGGGCTACTGAAACTGTTTTATCATATCTAACCCAGGATGTTCCTTAGCAGCCAAAGGTACAGAGGGTCACCTCTGTAAAAAATGTGGAGTAAGCATAGGCTTGGCCTGCTCATTTATTCTCTCTCAGACCTCTCCATATGGATACTGTAGCATTAGTCTTCTGTTAGGGACAGGCAAAACAAAGAGTCCCAATTAAGCAAGCTGTGTCCCTGGGAGCACAAGGGAAATAAAAAAGGAACCACTACCAGAAAATGAAGTTAGGGGAAGCTAGTCAAAGATCAAAACCACTGAAGAACAAGCCCCAGCAGCATCATCTTACAACCACTAATGGAGGCAGGATACAGCTGCTCTTGGTGACAAAGCTGTGCAACACTAACAACATACCACAGTCATTTTCTCAGTATTTATGGCTATGAACACAGAAGAAATGGTCCATTAAGGGAAATAATTACAGCTTGGACCTCTAAATCAAGTATAGTTGTACAAGCATAGATGTCCCTGTCTCCAACTTTATTGTGTGTTTTATCAAACATCAGCTTGACAGAAAGGAACTGAAACTGCTTTTAGTTTAAAAAAAAAAAAATGAAAAACAAACCTGTGAGAACATTCGGAACAAATGGCAAGGACACAAGGTTGTGGGGTTTGGGATTTTTTCCCCCCATGGAGAAGAGAGTCTGCCTTTAAAGAGCATTTAGAGAACAAGATTTAAAAGCACTGCCAAGTTCCCAATGAGCACAGCTACATAATATTTAATTTATTCTGCATGTGAAAGTTAACAGAAGCTAGCTTGTCAGGGACCATTTCCAAGCAGAAAGTTAGAAAGGATCTCAGGAGCAGTTCTCTGAACAATCAGTACATTACTGTTCCTCTTTATCAACTGAACAACCACAGAAAGGACAAAATGGCAGGATCCCACCCAGGGAGCACAGCCCAGGCAGAGGACAGGAGGTCAGTGCTGCACTGCCAAGCAACAGCTGGAAGTTATGCCCAAAGAAGCCTCAATGAGGTGCATCCCCTGCTTTTCAGGGAGACCAACCTTGAACAAGTCATACAATTCCTCTAAATCGTCAGGAAGAATTGAAACATCTGGGATGACAACTCGGAGCTTAAAAAGAAAGAAAATCATGTTAGTGACATCACTGACACAGGCAGACCCACGAGCTGTCCTTAGCTGAAAACCACTATTAAAAAAATCTTTGTGCTGTTTCCCCCTTCTTTAGGTGCACCAGTTGGACAGATCCATGAAAAGAGAAATCCCTCAAGGGCTATTAGAAACAAAGACAGGAAGTCCCTAAGCTACAGGTCACAGAGGCCAGGGAGGCATGGCATGGTGCTGTCTCTCCTCTCCCCCAGGCATCTGCCAAGGGCTGGCCACAGTCACAGGTAAGGTGCTGGCCTGGACAGTCCTGCAGCTGTTCAGAACTTTAAAGCCACCCTAAACTACAATAATGCACATGGCTGCCAAAGGAAAACCATCAGCATCCCAGGACAGAGCTTTGTGCAGAGTCAGCAATGATCTTTCAAGACCTGGTGGCCCCTTTTTATAAACTAAACCCAGGTGTCTCCAGAGGCAATGCTGAGCTACCTCAGTCAGAGCAATACCCTGCTCACCACGTTCTGCTTGGTGGTATCTTCGTGGCTCTGCAGGACACGGATGCGGTGTTTGTAGCGCATGTGCTCTATCTGCTCCACAGAGTGGTCTCCAAATTTCTGTAAGACAGGAACAGAAGTTTATTATTTGTGTTGTGTTTTATTATTTTTTCCTGTATTATTATTATTTCCTGTATTAACTGGAAATACACTTATATTAAAGTGCAGTGAGACCTTGAAGAAAAAGCATACGCAGTCTATAATTCATCTAGGTACCCATACTACACCTAGTCTTGTGCATGAGAGCACTTCAGTGTCATGGAATCTGTAAAGATGTGTATTAACTTTCAAAGCATCCAAAGTGAATCAAACCTTCTTCTTTAAAATTCTAACTTAACTGACTAGTAGATACAAAGAATTATTTTACCTCATAGGAGTCATGAATCAGGTTTGCTATTTCAGTCACTGGAGAGGGTTCCTGGTCGTCACTGAAGAATGCATGGTGATTACCAATAGGTGGCAGAGGGCTTTCCTCATTTTTGACATGCTCTAAAAACCTGAAGAGAGGAAATGTATAAGAACACAGATCACATTGCACTGTGCTCTTCTCAATTCAAACATGCAGTAGGTCTTATGGCTCAGATTTAGAAATAAATTGAGTTTTGGGCAAGCTAGACTTTTCAAAAATGCCCTTGTGATTACTCATCTGAGGAACAGTAAGCCAGCCAAATGACTAAATGCTGCCCAAGGAAGAAAACCCCTGTCTCCTTGAAGTCTGGAGCAGGAAGCCTGTCAGTCCAGGGAAGGCACGGAGAGCAGCAGTAAATATTGCATGCTGACGCAGGCGATGCAGCTCTCGGAATGCCAGGAAATTTCACAGGACATCTTGTCCGACGTGCAAAGCCATTGTTTGAGGCAGACACTGCGGCAGCAGCAGCAGCAGGGTGACACAGAAGGGCCCTGGTGCCTACTGAGCAATGCCTTTGTTATAGGGCAGAAGGGCCTGAGGTGAAAGCAGCACTCCTGTGTGGCCATACCTGCTCAGGATCATCAGGGCCTGCCCATCATCCTTGCTGTTACACAGATCCACGGCGTTGGCTTCCAGTATGGCCAAGCCCAGCTGGAAAATGGCTTTGATGCCATCATAGAAGAAGCAGTCCACAACATTCACAGCACTTTCCAGGGGCATGATGCTGAGGAAAAGGGTAAGGAACCAGGAAAGAGAGATGGAAGCTAGGGCTGTCAGATCCTTCATATGTTCAGCCAGCTCTGGAAGTTGCTCTTTTATAAGCTCTTCAAACACTGACTGGTCTACCTGAGCACCTACAAGTTATAAAGGAACAGCATTAGTCAGGACTGACACAGGAAAAAATTATTTTTTTAAGCTAATCACTGCTGTCAACTGTTAACTGCAACTTTCTTAAAATGTAAACATGAAAAGTACACACACATCTACAATGAAAAATGCCATTATCCTCCTGCTGCCCAACCCTTGTGTCCATAAACCTTACTGTACAATTTTCTGCAAAAAGTGTGTTAATTCTCCTAAGTGCCTTTAGGGTGCAATGAAACAGCAACAGCAACAACTGTTGGTCTTGGCTACAAAAACACAAAATAATTAAGTGCTAGCAAAAGCAATCTTAAAGCATTTATTGCTCCACTTGGGATGAATGCAGTAAAAATAAGACAGTACACATTCCTCTCTGATGTATGTACTCAAGCAAGTGGGCAGCAAAGCTTTTGCTCTAACTGAGAAAATGTAGGATGGAAGTCCAGATATACCTACACACACTAGGCAGGAAGAATAGTAGTTACAGGAAAGTACATGCACAGATACAAATATATACTTACAAGCATATGTATCTACACATAAAGAACAAAAGACTTCTGCAATGCCCAGATAAAAGATTTCCTAACTGTCCCAACCAGTTTTTCCAAAGGAGCAGATCTGGGCTCTGGTTTAGCTACTAGTTCAGTTCTGCTTTGTCAGCAGCTGTTACAGAATCAATGCCGTTTCTTCTCAATGAAGTGGACTGTGTCTACAAACCAAATTTGCCACATCAGGGCTTTGACCAAAGACACTGCAAGTTAAAAATATTCCTGAATACAAAATGCAGTCAGCTTTTCAATTATTTTGTCTTTCTTTTCAAGTTATTTCATTTCTTTCTTACAGTCCGTATTCTGCTAATATTAGGACACAATTTTAATTGCTGAAACATATATATCCCTAGCACTCAAAACTTCTCTTGCTCAAAAGCAGAATATAACCTGAACAATCTGTGGCAGAGAGCCAGCATCTTTTGGTTTTGCATCCAAATCACATGGAAAAAAATAGCTATGACATTTCTCTGTCTTAGAACCTTTCACACCAGGCCAAAAGAGCTTCTGCTGGTGACTGAACAAACATTACAGCACCACAAATCAAAAATAAAAGCCCATGGTCATCCAAAAAGCTTCTAAGAAACACATCAAGCATGATGTTTTGAAGAAAAAGCTTCCCATAAGATTGAAGAAAAGGAGGAAAATAGACTGGAGTTACTCAACAGAGGGCAATTTTTGTTTGAGTTTTTTAATAAGCTTAATGCAAACAATTTAATAGCCATAGTTAACACAGACCCAAAAACAGAGCTGGATTTAGAGGTATTTGAAGGAAGCCAGAGACAGATAGGCAAGACATATATAAATATATCATTCCAGACTTAGAGACAGCATGAGCAAAACCAGAGCTTTAAAAGGAACATGCAACACTGCCCAGATCTTTCTCAGACCTTCTTATAAAAAGTGCTGTCACTGTAGATGAAAGTGAAACAGTTGTATTAAAATGGACTTTTCTGTCTATTTTTTCATATGTTTTCATTTTTCATGAAATCTGAACAAATGAATCTGTATTACAGCATGAGACCATAATGAGGTAGGAAAATACCAGGGCATGCATTTGAAAAATGATGACCTTAGATGCAAGATAAATGACATCTTCAGGACTGAAAAGGCAAATCAGAGAAATGAAATAAGGTTTTCAGTGGTTCAAGAAATGCAGTGTCAAGTTGATGACAGTCTAACAGGTAAAGTGGGGTAAGATGCCCTGCTGGTTTATGCAGGAGATGAAAAAGTCATGGTAATTGAGAATAGGATATGCCTGACCCTTGCCACCACTCTTACCCATATACAACCTGTTTGTATCTTGCACCTATTTATCTGCCTATCATTTCCTCTATGCATTGCAGAGACAAGGAGGACGGAGGGAATTCCTGAAGAAGGAGCCCTGCCTGCAGGCTTTTCCCATTTGCAAGCAGTGAAATAATGAAAAAGCTTATGAAAGGTGTCAGAGCTGGCAAGGCTGAAGGAGGGAGATAAAAGTAAGAAGGCTGAGTAGGACCTAAGTTTTGAAAGCAAAAATTCTAACTAACTAAACACACATATAAATAAATAGAAGATTTTGAAAGTTATAAAGAAAAGGTCTGAGACAAAAGGAAGCTAAGAAGGCCTGCTATAACCAAGGACATTAATTTGGTAGCTGTTTGGAGTGCAGAGATTACAGGCTGACACTGCAGAGGAAAAGCACAGTGACGAGCAGCAAGGTCAGAGATCACCAAAGTTATTGAGAGATCAAAATTTGGACAAACAGTATTGGCAGGGTGCACAAAGAGGAAAAGTTTGGTCTTGGAAGTGTTATGCAGGAAGAAACAATACAAAGTTTAGACAAGAGCTGGTTGCAAATCAAAAAGAAAGTCGACTGAAATGCAGAGCCAAGAACACTAACTCAAGCAACAGGAACCAGAGGAGGGGCAGGGTGGAGAAGATCAGTAGCACAAATTTGGGCACGTTAAGTTCTAGGGTAAAGCAGAGCTGCAGAAATTGTGCTCAGTGAAGGAACTATGCTGCAAAACTGCACCAGTGCCACTCAGCCAGGGAGAGCAGGGCAGCTTCCAAACTGAATTCCTGGCTCTTCACACTGTGAACTATGAGCTATGGCAGCAGAGAGACACAGCACTTCTTCCCTGGGATAAAGAGGGCCAGAAAACAGAGAGACAGGACAACCAAAACTTTCAGCACTTGCACAATGTAGGCTGTAGCCATGGCAAGTGACAGGCAAGATACAAAGCACAAATCAAGAACAACTCAAGGCAGGGATGGCTGGCCAGGTGAGACAACTCAGATGAGTAGCAGAGAATGCTACTTAAGGACAATAACCCAGCAAGCATCAGAAAGTTATGAGTAATCCAAAGCACACTGCTGATATCTAGAAATGCTTGAGTACTGATACAGCTGTGTTTCTCTCCTTTAATCAGGGAAGGAGACAGACAAACATGGAAGTCAGTAATCAAACTAGGAGTTTAAAGTCATGTCTGGAGACAAGAAGAAAAATTCTGACAAGTGAGACAGTTACAATGCCCAGAAAATACCAATGGCATTCAAAGCACCACAAAACATGCTAAACATCCAGCTAAACTTTGGAATAACTCAGCTTTAACTTACCTTCTTGCCAGTTCAGTGACAAGACAGAAACTGAGCAGTGACACAGTGTCTAGAGGGAGATATGACAACCCCATCCTTCAAGGAAAAGACTGGAAATCTTCTCAAGTGTCTCTTCCACTCCACAGGCAGCACAAGAGTGCCCAGACCATTCCTAGCTCCCAGAACCTCTACTGCCAGGGACTTGCTCCTATCTCACTTTGTCACACATGACCCTGGTCCCTCTCTTGCCACAGCAAGGGTGTAACAGCAGACGCTGCAGCTACAGACTAAGGTTAGCAATAAAAAGGGAAAAGCTACCAAACATTTCTGTAAGGGAAGGAAGTGACTGCAAAGAACAAATACTGCTTAGCCCCTCTCTTTCAGTGCATTAGGCAGTCTGAACAATGATCTTTAAAATAATGGCACTATGCAGGAGCACTAACAGCACTACACAGCACACACAGTGCATGGCACAGGGACTTGTATCAGCTCTCATTACAAAGGGCTAGTGTAGATGCAAGCCTGCATTGCTCCAGCAGCCAGGCAATTCAGAGAGTTCCGATCACAAAGCAGATCTTTCCTATGTTCATCTTAAACAGTCTGAGTCTCTAACACTGCACACCCCTAGCCAAGACCACAAGCTCTTCTATTTATGTAACAGCCAAAAGTGTCCCCACCTTCTGACCAACAGGAAAGAAAAAAACAAACTGTGAAGCTGAGCATTTACAGATCATGCAGCTCAAACCCTTCAGACCAAAACCAGCCCTGGCTGGAATCTGAGCAGCCACTGCTGCTGTCCCTGCACACCACACAAGTAGATGGAGCACCTCATCCATGGGATGTGGGCCCCAGCTGAGCCTGAGCATTTCCCCAGCCCTGTGCCACAAGGCTGCCCCTTCCCAGCCTGCAGGACAGGGAACACAGGCTCACCTATCACTCGGTGGTTGAAGTAATCCGGCAGCATCCGCTCACACACAGCAACCAGCAGCCAAAAGGCTTCTTCCTCTTTGGCATACAGCAGCAACACGGAGGTCAAAATGTTCATAGACTTACAAGGGCAAAGAAGAAAATGGGATTTGTTAGTGACAGCAAATCCTACTGACAAGAGCTCAACTGTGGCTATTTTTATAGAAAGAAAAGTAGCCTAACAGTATGTAAAGAACTAAGGAAAAAAAAAAAGCAAGAAAAAGAGAGAATACACAACAAATACATAATTGCAACCCACAGGCACAGCAAGTTTTCCAAGCTTATTCGTAAGAGCAATAGGAAACAATGGAGAAAAGCACAGTACTGGATTTGCCAAGATACAAAGCAGGTAACTGATACTGCAAGATGTTTTGGGGCTGCTTTCACTGCCCCTTATTCCAGCATCAGGACCACTCTGATGTTAATCAGAATTCAGGGAGCTGACCAGCTAGACAAATGACTTTCATAATTTATCATCAGTTTTGGAATAAAGTGGCAGAAAGGTTCATTAAGCCTGTGCCCCAGTGCACTACATAAAATCTCATCTGTGCAGGCCAATTCACCCTGCACTGCTTCCAAGTATTGTCCAAGAAATGCCCTTTTCAACAAACAGAAGCATCAGAAACAATTTTTTCCCTTCCTGTAACTATAAATGCAGCTTGCAAAATGCTGAAGGAATATCGTTGGTAGAACAGAGCCTTTTGGTGAGACTATGTAGGTGTTTTCCAAGGAAAAATGACATTTAAATATATTTAAATGTTATTTTTAGATCTACTTTTCCAACTAAAAGGTCTTTATTTATAAAAGCACCACTAAAAGCACTCTTGAGAGAGCAGCAGAAGGGGAGGAAGCAGCAGGGAGCACAATCCCTGGGGCATGCCCTACCTGGCAGTATCCTATTTTGGGGTTCCTGTGCGCGTAGGCGGTGAGCACCCTCCGCAGGGCGGCGATGCCGGTCTCGCTCTGGAAGGCCGGGTGCTCGGGCAGCGAGCGGTGCAGGTCGCGCTCGATCTCCTCCCTGGCCATGCAGCACCTGCCCATGGAGGCCTCCACCAAGTGCACGTAGTAGCCAGGGTGCGAGGCCAGATCCGTCTGCGCGTCTGCAGCCAGCAGGAAGGGAGGAAGAGGAAGATAGGTTTAGCATCATCCTTATCCACTCCCAAGTGTTGTGGGAATTACTGCTCAGAAGGGTATAAGCAAGGTGGCTTTCCCCAAGATCTGTGAATATGCAGGCCTAAAAGACAAAGCCCTAGCAGAACATACGTCTTAAAAACTAAGTATTAGCAAAGCTCACATGACACAACATCATTCAGAACACCCTGATTGAGCAAAAGATCATCTCATTCCAACCCCCCTGCTGTGGGCAGGGACACCTTTCACCAGACCAGGTTGCTCAAAGCCTCATCCAGCCTGGCCTTGAACACTTCCAGGGATGGGGCACCCACAGATTCTCTGGGAAACTCCTTCCAAGTGTCTCACCACCCTCACATGTTACTGGGAGAAATGTACTCAGCACTGTTCATAACCTTCAAGGAGAAAAAGCTCCTCATTTACAAATGTCTGAGTATGCCATATATTGGATTAAGGACTAAACTTGAGATCACACTGTAAGCACATTCTGGCTCTGCCGTATCTGTCGATGAAATGAGCTGTTTTTTCCATCTTCAGTTTCTGTAAGCCCTGCCAGCATTCAACAAGAAGCAGGAGCAGGTCTGCCAACTTTGAGATTGTCATTATTTTGCAATAATCTGATTTGTCTAGGGCTAACTCAGTATTTACGCTACAATCTAATTGCTGCTTGAAGATGAACATTGTTTTATGAAAACATGATGCTAATTTTAAATTACATAGATTACAAAGATGTTATTTTGATTCTTCTATACATCATATGATATCATCCTGAGGTAAAACTTTTACAGATCTACCCAGGTACTTCCTTGCATATATTAGTTCTGTTCAGATCATGTCTTTTCCTTAAGCAGTATCACAGGTCCCATGTAAAGGACATTTAATTGCCCTTGAGAGACTTCTTGCCTAAGCGTTTTGCCATCTCCAGAATCAGATAATGCCTACAGCCAACATTTCTAAGCATGCCCACCTGAGAAAAGCAGCCAGAGTTTGCCTCTTAAGGATTCGGGAATTCCCATAGCAACAAGTTTTCTGATTTTCTCTGTGCGAAACATGCACACGGTTCTGCCATACTCCACGAAATGGTCATCCCACAGGCTCTCTTTGATTTGCTCCCTAGACTGGGAACAAGAACATACATTAAAAAAAAAAAAAAAAAAACCAACTCATGTTTTTGTTTACCAGTTCTCATGTGAGAACTGGTAAACAAAAGCATTTCACATATTAGAAATTCCACAAAGTATTCCATTACCAACGGAAATGGGAAGTCTGCTCTAGGGACTTTGACTTTCCCCACTTTGCATACCTCATTCACCACACAGGGACAAAAATTAGAAATATTTACCAGAATGAAATGGGGGGAGGGAGAAGAAAAAAATCCAACCAAATAAAAAAATTGTCCCGTATCTAACTTCTCCAACCAATACAGAGTACATTTTACTAAAAACATCTGTATGAATATAACCCCAGCTTTTTAAAAACAAAACCTAAAACTCCTACAGCTTTCCCCAAATGTTACATACCTTTCCAAAATCAAGGCCTGGCATTCCTGACTGATGAAAGTCTGACCTTAGTGCTTCTGCATTGAGCAAGTAATTGTTCTCCTTTTCACATTCACTTCTCTCTTTCCCGTGTGAAGCCTCTGTTCCCAGACACGCAGGCTCATCATCCCCCAGCGTGCACATGGATCCAAAGGCAAGGCTGTTCTGCAATGCCAAATCAAAGTGGTAATGACTGAAAAGGCTAGAAACTACATCCTCAACTGTCCTCAAGACAGAGCTGGGTTACCGTTTGCCTTTTGCATCAAAACCTTTAACACCTTTCAGGAAGAAAGGTCTTGAGTAAGACTTTATACAAATTGTCATTCATTTGTGTGTCAGGAAAAGGGTTGTTACTTTAAAAAAAAAGTTGTTAGCCAATTCTAAGTGTCCTTGATGACAAGATATCCAACAGACTTCTACTGTTATGATTTGAAAGACAAAATCACAGAACAATTTAGGTTGGAGAGGACTATTGTTTTCAATGCCCTGCTCAAAGCAGGAGCCCTCAGCCCTGGTTGCTGGAGTCTGTGCCCAGTCAAGTTGAGTAGCTCCAAGAAAGCAGAGAGCACTGCTGGTCTGGGCAGCCTGGTCCAGTTCTGCCTAACTATGAGGGGAAATCTCTCTTTATCTATTTAGATTTTTCCTTGCTAAACCTTGAAGCTGTGGCTGCTTCTCTTTCCACTGGCATATGGAAGGAGAATTTGCCTTTATCTTCCAGCTTGCCACTATTTGGCTGAGGAAGCCCTGCTCCCTCCACCTCTCCTTATAAAGCATGTGTTCCAGCCCCTGTCCTCCTATAGCCCTCCACTAGACATACTCCAAATAATCAATGCTTTTCATGTGTAATCAAGCATAGTCAAACCTGGACACAGTACTTCTTATCAGGCTCATAAGTGCTGAATAAAAGGGAATAGCAACATTCCATGACCTGCTGGTTACACTCCTGCTAGTACAACCCGATATGGGGTTGTCCCTCAGCATTGTAAGAGCACACAGCTGACTCACAGGCTCAACTTGTTCATGACTCCTCCTCCTTTCCCACACAGCTGTTCTCCAACCAGCCGGTTCCCAGCCTCTCCTGTCACATGGCCTTGTTTTGCCAGGTTTCACATTTGCTTTGTTGAACTTCGTAAGGTCTCTATCAAACCATTCCCCCAAACTATGGAGGTCTCTGTGAAGGGCAACCCAGCTGCCCATCCCAGTCCCTGCTCTCCTCAGCATGTCAAGCACAACTATGCTCTGAGTGTCCTCTATCCCACCAGTCAGGTCTTCAAAGGTGGCATCAGATAAGCATTGGCTCAAGATCAATTTGGGGGCCTCCCAAAGAAGGCAGGACACTGGAATAATGGATATTAAATTATTAATAAAATAAAAGCTCAGTACCTGATTGTTATTTTGCAAGTTGTTGCAGTGCAATGTGTTGCTGGAGTTCACCTCTTTGAACCTCTGAAGCAGGTTCTCCACCAAAGTATCTCGGTCCTTCAGCTCAATGAACTGAAAAGCTGTCTTACTCCTTATGCTGACAATGATGGGATTAGGGAGAAGGCTTGTGTCCTCCATCTTCTCTATACTGATTACCTTCCCAGAGACATTACAGAAAACACATTAGGCACCACATCCACAAAAACATATTCAAATTTTCTACATGCACCAAAACACAGCATTTCATATGCATGCTTTAAATGTGGTTATTCATATCAGCTTTCCTTGATCAAACACATCCAACTGCCTGAAGTTCATGGTCTCTCTAGAAGCTCAAGTCAAATGCCAAAAAGTATTCCAGATGCCTTTTTTTTCCTAAATTACTTTTCATCCCACTTCTAAACAGCAGACTGAGGGAAAAGATAAGAAAGGAGTGTATGATTTTAAAAAAATTATTTATAAAAGGATCAACTTCTTCAAATTCTGGGTGTGGAGGAGGAAATTTACTTTCCCACCTTTGAAGACGAGGAAAAACAGTTGTTTTGTTAATTTTCATTATATATACAACACTCTTCTCATATTGTTTTCTGTTTCTGCAACAGAAAGGTAAGTTGCTACAGTTATGATGTGACTTGGATGTTACTCTATTATTAGTCCAGGATGAAAGGAAAGCTTTAATTAAGAGATCATAACAGCCTTGTATCCACAGCAGATGAGGCAGGTGTTAGCTGACAGCTTCCTTCTCCTGTTCTACTCCCACCACCTTCCATTGTGCTCTCCCCCTTCATTTAAACTCATCTATTGATTTCATGGAAACTTGTTGGCCCATCACTGCATGTATAACATCCCCTCTTCCTCTCTGCCCTACAGCCTGGAAAAGCACCCATAGGTTTGTTAAAGGCTATCTATGGAGGGAGAGCTCAACACTTGTGTTGATCCCAGGCAAGGATGCCTTTGCATTGCTGGAATGGGTCCAAGCCAGTCTCCATCAACATCAAGATGGATGTATGTGTTTGTGGAGCTGGGAGAGGAGCCCTGTCCAAGTCTTGGGCCAAGCACACTCTGTTTTTGCAGCGTTCTGTCCCGCTTCATTACCTGTTCATACTTCACTTTGAGGATAGTTTTGAATCACCCATATTTTTAGGAGCTCAGGCCCTAAGGAGTCCCAGAACAAGCTGTACAACCATCCTGTAGGCAGGATACACACAAACATTCTGCTCTTTTTCATCAAACAACACTTTGTCAAGGTAAGTCAAGTGGCAGCGGAGGCTTAGGGTAGAAAAAGGCAGATAAGGATCGAAAATTAAACAAACAAAAAACTCTACCTCTCTAAGTGGGATGATCACAGTGCAGCAGCCATTTTCTTTACTGGCAAAACAGATGTAACTGTCTGAAGTATACATTGTCCCTGCTGTGTGACAGCGACTGAAGGGCGTCCAGAGAGAGCAGTCCACAACCTCGTGCAGCTTCTCCTTCCTGGGCAATCTGAAGAAGGCCCGAAAGAATTCATTCTGTGCTCTGGCTTCCAGATCCCTTAAGAAAAAGCAGCAAGAACGAATCACAAGATCCCGAAAGTCAGGACATGCAGTGTGAGGTTAACTTTTCTTGTGGGCCTCACCAAGAGCAAGGAATACAGAATAAAAGCACCGTGCACAGCAATCTTTAGTGCCTATGTGAACAGAGCACTCTGCAAGCAACTTTGAAATAAGTTAAAAGGAAAACATTATCAGTAACTGCTTGTTCAACAATAAGGTCAAAAGCAACTAGTATAGTGACTAGGAAGGGAAAGGACACTAATTTGAATCACCTGTTTTGCTGGATTGGGGGTTTTTACATTATTTTTTAACCACACATTTTCTATGGCTGCTGCATGACTTTACAGACTCCAAGAGTTACAAATTTCAGTGCCCAGGAGACAACTAAATCTTTCATCTGATGAACATATATTGAGCAAGGGAGATTAGCCTAATGTTCCTTGTTTCCCTTCACAGTAGCATTACCAACATCACCCCAGGGACTTGCACCTGCACCCAAAACTAATGCATTTGCTCAATGACTACTTCCAAAGTGGTCAGTAATAGAAGTGCTAATGATGGTGGCATTTACATGATGGAATCCTTAACTTGCAGAGGTATCAGCCTCAGAGAGCCCTCAGAACAGTTTCAAAACGCAGAACAGTTTCAGGTCACTTACAGACTCAGCTGGGATTAACAGCACCAGCCACACTCAGTTTGAACTTGGCCTCCTTCCAGCCACCCATCCACATTTAAGTGAAGAGAAAAGTTTAAATAAATGAAACTTTCATTACTGAGCCATGGTTATATAGACTTGGCTTTGGGGAGTTATTTTTCTTCTCCTTTCTTAATGAAGAAGCCCGCAGTAAATTAGAGAACTACGCAATTACATTATGAACAGGCCATGGCTATTAGCTCACCAACAGCAGCTCCAGAAACATTAGGGCTCAAATTCTATTATTTTCTTTACTACAAGTAAATTTTTCCTAGCATGATTCACCTTAGGGAAAAGGAAAAAAAAAAAAGATTGATTTTGTGCCACTGAAAGAATTTAAAGCGTGGGCTGAAGCACAACAGGGAGTGGTACCTTGGTGCTGTAAATCCCCTCTCCACTCCCTCCTTCACCCACCTCCTTCTGCAGACACCTTCCCTCTGCCCCAGCCCTGTCCCCTATTAAAATATATGTTGAGCTAAATGAAGGCATTGGCTCAATAATTAAATAAATAATTTGTTTGGGTTTTGAGTTTTTTAGTTTAGTTTAATCCATAGAAAAAGACTTAGCCACAAGAAACAGGGAGGAAGACAATCCAGAACAGAGACCTGAGAAGGGAGGATCTGTATCTGCAAGCAACAGAAAAGACAGAATGCGCTCAACCAGCGTTCAGCTTCTGCTTCCTTCTCAAGCATTATCTTCCTTAACAATATTATCCAAAGAAAGCAAATGTTCTTTGTTCTCCTGTTTTTTCACAGAGAACAAAGAGAAACCCTCTTTGTGAAGAAAGACAAAAAGGTTGCTCCTGAGCTGAAATTCCACAGCGAGAGTAACTCTGATAAGTGCCTGCAGCGATCTACCATTGTGACAAAGCTGGATCAGGATATGCCTCCTAGTTAACTCACCACTAAAATATTTTCCATTTCTGCACAGCACAGATGAATGCTGCTGATAGCATCTGCAGTCAGGTCTGGTAGAGCTGTGCTCTCCTGCTATTGTGCTGCAAGGTAAGAGCCCCCCAACATCTACTTGGTTGTGGAGATTTCTTGACCTATTTATGTGAAAAGAGGCTTTATACAGAAGAGTGGGACCTCTACTGAGGCATGCATGTCTGTTATTTAAGAGCTGACTGTTTCCTATGCTCCAAAATCTGAAGTTTCTGAGTTTTCAGGATTTTCCTGCATTTCCTGGGGCTGTGGGCTCCACATGCAGAGACTTTCAGACAACAAACCATAGGATTCTAAGCTGAAGAAGAATGACATTAGTCACATCTGAAACTAAGTAAATTCACCAGCTCTGTATCCACCCCCACTCATCCATGGAAGGCTGCCAATCCCAACATCCCTGGAACTGCCTGTCCCCCCATGACTCACACAGGGACACCACAGGGAACACACCACAGCCAGGGCTGCCCCAGAAACAAGCGCTGAAATGGGGCAGCCTGCTTGGAGGAGGGATCCCAGAATAAAAAATGGTAGCAGAGGGACAAGATCCTGTCAGCACCTACCACTGTGGGCTCAAACAAGAGGTTTTATTCTAAAGTTGAATACCAAGAATATATTTCCTGTTAAGCAAGCAAATTCTAGGGCTTAAAGGTCTCCCTTCATAAACACAGCCAAACAAAATTAGAGTTGGTTAAAAAAACCCCCAACCCTACAACTCTAAAAAACCCACAAACAAATTTAGATCCTAAAACAAGACAGGCAATTTTTTAAATATAATACAACAAAGATGGGCCACATCAGCAAGTCCCACAGCTTCCATTTAGAGTTTCACAAGACCTCCAACACCAAACAGAAATGCAATCTTTCTACTTGCATCCCTACCTGTTCTAAAATTTCTACTCTTGCTTAACTATTTCCAAGTCAGTTTGGTTTTTAAGAAAATGCAGGATACTGTAGTGGTACTTAAATAAAAAAGGAAAGCTATCATTATGTTAAATATGATATGTTAATATGTTAAATAAAAATAATGTTTATTGAGTATTTACACAAGCATCAGAAGAATAAAAGGCAACAAGATGCAACTGCCTTGTTCCCTACTTTTCAAAAAACTCAGCAATTCCTTCTGAGTGCAGCTCCCAAACTGTGTGTTATGGGATCATGGACTGCCTCCAACTCCAGCACTTCAAAGTGAAAGGCAAGCCTGAACTGCAAAAACTCCTTATGCATGACCCCCACATTACCTTCCAAGAGCTTTAAATTAAAGGAAATAACACACACAGGTCTAACAAAATGCCTAAAACCATCAGGATGCTTAAAATGCTGTCCTCACTGTCAAATGTTTTTCTGTGCTTTAAATCCAGCAGAAGCCAACTTGGCAAGATTTTAGCTCTGCTGAGTCACTTCTAGCTGGTGTAAAATCTAAACAGCCTTGCTGATCTCTTGCTTCAAGAGACAGATTACTACATTCTTCTTACTATTGAGACTCCAGAAAGTAAGATACTTTGGAAATAATACATCCAACAATATATGTCTTGTTTTTTAAAAGAACTGCTAAATTTATGTGGGAAGAAAGGCTTCTTATAAGCAAGTCAGGAGATGTTATCTGAGAAGAGCCAACATGGACTTGTCAGGACACATGTAAACTGAACACCATTCTCTTACACCGCAGGAACATTAGACTTGTAGATGAAGGAGTTGCAATGAATGTTTTAGCCAAAATTTATGAAAGTCTTGATATAGCCTCTCATGGAACTAATTAAACTCGAACTGGTAAACTGTTGGACCAAGACAGTTGCAAAAGAGTGCCTCAAAACACAGCCCTTCAGGGCTTCCTAATAAATTAGAAGGTTGTATCAAGAGGACCCCCTTGGGAATCTGTCCTAGATTAGCTTCTGTTCAATGTCTTCATTAGCAACCTGTATGATGGATCAAGACACTGTCATTAAACCTGCACTTGATGCAAGGCTGGTAGAGGCTAATGAACATAACAAAAGGATCAAATTCAGATTTATAGTCATAAATTTAAGGGATGTTGTGGGAAAAAAATTACAAATATTTTCAGCTGTACATCATAAGCTTCACAAATGCAGAATGGAGATGAACTCCACCAGGAGCCATCCCTGGATGTTACAAAGGAACACACGCTGAACAAGAGCCAAGAGCCTCATGCTCACAGGAGGAAGAGGAACACTGGCTGGGCTGCAGAAGTTCATGGCCACCAAGATGCAGCATGGCAGTCCCAGAACTGGCAAGGTTACTGGGGCAATTCTGTACCCCACCACCATGCACCTGCCCCCACATGGCATCAGTGATGAATGTCCAGGGAAGAGTGACCAGAATGGCTAAAATCCACTGGTAAGAAAACCCTGGTGGAAGTAGGGCAGTGTAGGTTAAAAAAAAAAAAAAAAAAAAAAAAAAGAAAGAAGATACACATCAACCCCCAAACACACAAATGACTGCTCTAAGTGAGCACAAAGTGCTCTAATGAAAGTGAGCACTTCTGATCTCTTCAATAGTACTGAGTAGAACAAAAAGTGACAGACCCAAAAAGTGTGGCAGATTAAAGTTAGACCTCAGACTTTTAAGTGACAGAACAGTGAAGTACTGGTATGGATCCTGATATGCCCTTTACTGCAAATCCTAAAAAACACATTAGGCAATCACGATGAGATAACCCAAACCCTACCTTTTGCTACAGAGATGCAATAAAAGGAAGTTTTTTGTAGCCACATTCTACTTGTTGCTCAAGGTTTAAAGCATTCTCAGATTCTGTCTCTGAAGGAATAAAGGCAGATTGAAGTGACATTTATGACTCAGGATACTTCAAACAGTTTCCATTGAGCTTAGATCACTGTTAACAACCTTCTTTGCCTTCACATGAAGCAAAGTCATTCTCATTGGTAACTCACAGTTAAACACGAAGAAAAAAACTTGATGTGGTTAGAGCCTGGGAAAACATATCACACTGTTGAAACCTTACTTATACCAGCACTAAAGCTTTGAAATTGTGGGTTCTGCTCTGGAGAATTTCTCACTACATTTGAGAAATGAAATGGGTACTTTTACATCCTGAAAGAGATGGAAATTAGAAGTACAAGAAACCTATACTAGAAACTGCTGCAGCCATTTTTTTAAAAAAGAAAAAATAGTTACCCATATGTGTTCCAGTAAAATTCTATGGCACACACATGCCTACAAGAAATGGCAATTGTAGGTACCAAACACATCAGCTTTATTTTGCTTTTTATGGCAATTACGTCCATTGCCATTAATCCCTTCATAATTCATTGTTTTGTGCATAATAATTTCATTAAACAGCACAAAAAATTGCATACTGACTTATTTGACTCTGGCCATGATATAATTTATGTCACAGGCTGTGGGCCTAATCCCACAGCCCCTCTGAGTCCCATCCCTCCACTGCTCAGTAAGATGACTCCAAGAGCCTCAGGAATGGCAAAGGTTTATGGTTTTCAGACTGTAGAATAAACAGATCGTGACAGCACTGAAAATGTATTTTTATAAAAATAAATATATTGCAACAAGCCTCTCACAAAATAAAGTCTAGCAAACACAAGACACCTACAACTTCATTAATTTGTCAGAGCTAGAATAGTTCAAATGATATATATGTCTGCTTTCATTTTCATAGATTATTATTTGCTTCCAAATCATGTACAAGAACTAACAATGACAATTAGAAGGAATGTGTGGAGAGGAAAGTAATTGTTCTTGTAGTACTAAAATGGCTTCAAGAAAAAAAGCAGCAACCAAAACTTCATACATCAAAAAAGCAAAACATTCTCCCCAAAACATGTTAACACTAAAAACCAGTTTATCCACTATTCAAACTACAGTCTTGCTTAATCACCTTACATCAAAGTGGTTGCTGAAGTGGGACAAAGGGCACCAGAAACAGCAACTTATCCAACCACTACCTAATTCATGCAGAGGAAATGGGATTTTGGTATCATCCATGCCATCCCAACTCACAGTACAGGTTAGAGAACATCTTGACCAGGAAATCTCCAGTAAATATATTTTTGTCCTTCTTTCTCCCTGTGTTCCTTTTACTTTCTTTTTTCTTCTTTAGTTGGAGGGAAGGAGAGAGAGAACCAGTTTGAATAAGTGTGTGAGAGGGTTTCTCTTGCTTGACCGCTAATGGGCACACTGGTCTTCAAAAATGCCACAAGGTACTTACAAGATGATTCCCTGAGAGCCCCTTTTTATAGCATATTACTAAGCTTATGCTTTTCTTTAAAACTGTAATTTTATTTTCTTTCCATTCAGTTAGTATCCCTGATTCAAAGACTATTTTGGGAAATGACAACGACAAAAATTGGTAGATGCTGAAAAATATCTCCCCCCAGGTTTTTGTTACATCTCCTCTGGATTCCTCTTCTTGCATCTAACTTTTCAGCCCAAAAGCAGGAGGAACTTAAAATGGTAAACCATGGAAAGGGGCTGAGATACAACCTACCACAGCCATGTTCTGCATCAGCTAAAGTACACACATCCCTACATCTCTTGAGCCAAAAGCCTCCAATGTTAAAAAACCCAAGTTACACAGATAGTGTAAAAACAATGGCAGCTCTTGTATCCAAGGAACCCTGGTTATTAAAAAAGCCTGCAAAGATGTTTATGGCTGCTCACCACTGTGTTACCTCAAGTGAATTCTTCAATGATGAAATCCTGGTGTCACTGATTTTCCTTACTGTGTGTACATATGAAATTGCAGAGAAAGTCCATTTTATTGTTTTAAACTCCATTATGAAACTTTGCAGAAGTGTTTAGCTGAGACAGAGGCCCACCACCACTGTAAAAATGTCCCTCAGAAACAATAAAATGGCTACTGGTTTCTCTTTTTGGGAAATGATACCATGCATTCCTCATGTTTTAGTCAGGAAGCAACACCTCGGTGATTCCCTTCAAACCCTGGCAGACGGAGAGGAAGGAAGAGCAGGAAAGAGCATGATTCAAGAGAAGATAACTGCTCCACAAACATCCCATTCAGAAAAGAAGTATTTTAAATCGCCACCTTAACCTTGATGCACCAGGCAAATTCCAGTTAGGGCTATTCCATCCTGCCCACCTAAAATTCCTCAGGGCAGCTTCCCTCCCCCTTTCTCGAAGCAGCAAATAAAACACAGAGTTGTGTGTTGTGCTACCAGCAGAGAAACAGCCATCAATCTATCCCTGAGATGCATTTCTGTAGTGGGAGAGGAATGCAGAGATGCATTTCAGGGATGCAAGGGGTAGAGCTGACAATAGCAATACCACAACTGTGTGTTTTTTAAGTCCTGTAACTGCTCACTAAATTGGCTATGGCAATCACACTAGAGGTAATTCCACGTTTCAGATGTGATCAAAAGCAGTAATTCCAGAGAACTGAAGGCACTAGGAAAGCCTACACATTACCAAAAATTTAAGCAAAATAATGCTGCTCTTCAGGGAAGATGACAAATATCCCTTGCTGCAATCTTCCCTTCTATGGGAACTCCAGTTCTTACAGGGAACAGCATTTTTGAAACTTTGTGCTGTTTAAGGGAAGAATATAAAGTCAAAAAATGTATCTTGGATAAAGTTAAAATGCACCTTTTGGATACACCATAACAAACTATGAAGTCTCTTTTGCATCCAATCAAACAAAGCTTTGAAATCTTAGCCAGCTAACACACCAAACCATGAATCTCACTATTGCTCATAAGACAGTTTAGCTTTTTACCTCTTGGTAATCTGAGTAGGATCCTGCAGGCCTGGATCCAGTTCAAAGATTTCATTATCCAGTAGCCTTCGGAGTGTCACATCTGCCAGCTGCTCCATGATCCTGAAAGCCTCAGCGATATTGAGGAAGGTGGAGAAGTCGCGCTCCTTGTTTGCTGTGGTGACACGGACTGTGTCCGTCATGAAGACATTGGAGGTTCTTTCCAGCTTCTGGACCTCAACCCAAGGGATGATAAGTTTCACTGCAATCCAAGAGAAGAGCAAAAGGTGGTTGGAAACTTTGCTTCCATCTTTCAGATTTGGGAAACAATCAAATTCAGAATGAAAAGTAAACCAAAGAGAGAGAGAAAAATTTTTATGGGCAAGACCAAGCACATGCTGAAATGTCTGTTATGCCTCTGCATTCAATTTCATCCACTCCTTTTTCAGAATCTCTCCCTCAAAATTTTAACTATCCTCACAAGAAATGCTAGACTGGGGTGATGCCTTTGCAGAACATCTGCCATACCCTGTGCTCCTAACTCCTATACAAGTCATTCCTGCAGCCTGCTTCCTTACCACCAAAAGAAACATCTCCAGAATACAGAGATAAGAGGGAAAAGCTTTGTTATCTCCTAGAAACAAAACACTAGGCAGGTGGAAAACCAATTACATGCACAGTTACTTTAGGTCTTAAAATAAAGCTAACTCCCCTCCAAAAGAAAGCTTTTTTGGAGACTGCTATAAAGTGTAATTACAACTATAAACAAGACATTTAAAAAGCTGCCTAGCCTTTGGGATCTTTCCATATGGTTACTTTTTACTGAAAAGATGCACAGGGCACATTTTGCCCTAAACATTAACTATAGTCAGGTTTTTTTATAGAGAACAAGAAGTGTAGGACACTGTCATATAAATACAAGTGGCAAACAGAATCAGCTTACTTTAGATAACTACTGCAGGATGTTACTCGCCTCTCACAGGAATCTCTGGGTAGAAATTAGGCTGGAAAGGACTTTAAAATAGATTCAATTTCTTCTTAACAACTGTTGGAAGCTTCCCAGATTTCTCTGTGCCAGTAACATCAAGACTACACCCCTTAACATCCCTAGCTGGTCTCCTGATGCCAATAAAGCAATAAAAAGGCAGTAATAACAAACATTGTCATATATATATGACACTTATCAAAGATCATTCATTACCTAAGGAGCTACCCTCAGCAAGTTTTCTGTACTACATGAAACACAGCTGTCAAGATTATTTACAGATTGCATTTTTTCTTACTTAAATAAAGCACAGCTGCATCAACATGCAGAGACTGTTGCAAATGATCATAAAATCAACTGCACCAGCCCAGCCAAGGGAAGAAAGATTAAATAATGCTGTAGCAACAGCACTGCTGTTCAGGCAGGTCAGAGTCACACAGGCTGCACAGTGCTGGTTACAGAAAAAGCACAACAGCCTGTACAGGACTCAAGCCACCAATAAAAGGTACAAAGTCTTCGAGGTTTCAGAAAAACACAAATTTAATTAAAAATGTGAAGAAACCTTGGCACACCCTTCCAAGCTATCTAATGATCTAAACCTCTGAAATCCTACAAACACTTGGAAGTTTAGATAAAAGGGGATTTGTCCTGGAAAAAAATTTTCCATGGAGTTTATATTCACATAAACCGTAAATTAATTTTATGAGAAGTTGAAAACAGGTTCTAATATCACATTCCAGGTCACTTCAACACAAAATGAAACAAAAGAAGGGAAAAGACTTGCCAGAAGCAGAAGACATAACACTCTGCCTATAAACAGATTTCAGTCTATGATTTGGGGGGATTTTTATAGAGGTAAAACACAATTGAGAACTAATTTTATTGCAACTCATATATTGAGTTTTTTCTCTGTGTAGTATTGAAGAACACAATAAATGTGATTTCTTAGCAATATTTTCAAGACCAGATTTAACCAGATTTCATTTGTGATTGCTGCCTGAAAAAGACAAAGGCAATGAATCACTTGTTCTGCATGTAATCAGCATCAGCTTCTCAAACAGTAACAACCAGGACTGTATTAAATCTGGATTATTCCCTGTAATACAAATATTTCGTAAACATGACAAAACACTAACCTAGACACAGAAGTAATCTGCTTTATCACAATCAAGGAAGTGGGAATCATTTCAGCATATATGCTGCTTCCCACTGAGCTAGGGAAGTTTGTTTAACCAAAAGAAAATTCAGGGGGTTTTCTCACATTTCCATGCAAATGGGAAGACAATGTGACTGACTGCACTGATGAATGAACAGTGCATTTTCCATGGTCAAAATAAAAAGTTGCAAACGCATAATTGTTTGTTTGGGGTTTTTTTGTGTGATTTTCATAATGAATATCATTAAATATATGAGAATAGATCTCTTCTTAAACAATACAACATGATATTTTATTTCCATTATCATTTAACAATCTGTGGTATTGCATAAACAAAATTTTTGGAACCATATAAAGGGTTTTTCGCTCTCCCTCCTCCTTCTACTGTTATCTATCATTAATAAGTATCATTTTTGCTTTGTGTGCTCTGGCAGACTGGCTATCTCAGATTTAATAAGAGAAGACCTGCAATGATAATAAGAAGAAATGATTGACAAAGAATTTAATACTAACGAGAAAACAAGGGGATTAAACAAGAACTCACATACCTAGTACATGAAGAAATTCCATTCTGCTCTTCCCAGCATAACTCAACTTTTGTTTTTATAGTGAATAACAAACTTAGCTGCACTTCAAATATAATTCTCCCAAACTTAGCTGCGCTTCAAATATATTCAAATATAATTCTCCCATCTTTAGTGATATGACAAAATAAGTAGCTTGAAATAATCTAAGGGAAGAAAGGACCTCCAGCTCTAAGAATGTCTTTGTATGTTTCCAGTCTTAGAAATTACAATTACTATCTTTCTTAAGATGAACTTCATTTCTAAATCTACAGCTATATCTCAATATTAAATCCAGTTAGAATATGGCAAAGTTTTCCTAACTGATCTGACAAACATTGCTATATTTACAGCAGTACAGGTTTCTATTGCTGACTTTGTTTAAGTTCCAGCAGGATAAACAGGCCTTAAAAGGCTAGAGGTTTATGCACAGTTTTACTAAACAGAGAAATGCTATAGTTTAAATGGCTACATTCGTTTTTCCATCTGTTACTTTTATTTTTACCTTCTTATATCTATTCTGTCAGGCTTTTCATTCACACAATTCTTTCTCTGTAGAAGAACACCCCAACGAAATCCTTAGAACTTGCTGAACCATCTGAAGGGCCAAAAAGCCTCAGGATATGCCTCTTTTGACCTTACTGCACTGCTATTCAGAAACACAAACAAATCCCTAAATTGCTGTTGTTTTTCCTTAAAAGCTCTGAATTTTCACCTGGTTCTCCAGGGCACATTCCTTCTATTTGTGCTGGGATTTCTTCAGGCAGGCAGCTTGACTCAGGCACCCCTGGCCCCAGGAGCCCTTCCCCTACCACCCTGCTGCAATCTGGTGACTCTGCTCTCCTACCTGTGGGAGGGACCCATCCTTACTCACCATTTTCAGCACTAAAACTCCTCATTTTAGAACTTGTAGGAGGTCTGCTACATCTTAAGGTTGCTTCACCATGGTAAAAAGAAAAACCAGGTAACAATCATGTCTGTGTGCTCTTGCAGTGTTATTTTAATTACTGGATTCATATTAAAACACAAAGGCTGAAGTGAAAATTAAATTAAACTGGATTTTTCACCTAATAACTAAAAACTCAGAAACTAAACTTCAGAGGTCAGCTAGGCTTTTCATAAGAACCCTGGCTATTCTTGCTTTAAAATGTATTTATATCTCTCCCCAGCATAAGATTCCTTATGCATTTACACTTACATTCTTTGCCCAGGAAGAAGGAATAAAAACAGAGATGATTGATGCTCAAATAAAGCCAGCCTTGCCGAGGAACTTTTCCTTTCCAACAGCAACAGGAATAATAGGTGATCAACTTCTCTGCTTCAGGAAAATTAAATCTGGATTCAAATTTCACCAGGGCTTCTCGGAACTTCTCGGGGTCCTCCTCCTGCTCAGCGAGTTTGCTGCTCGTTTCCTCTGCAATCAGTGCCTGAGCCCAGAACAAGACCATATGTCAGCATAAAGCTATGGCACACTCAGGCAAGCTGCTACAAGCTGCCCATTCAAATTCTAATAATGCAACACTTTCTCACCAAGAAATTCCAGTCAATTTGCAGTTTTCACAAACGGAGAAATTTCTCTGGTGCTTCCATCTCTCACACATTTTGAATGCTCCCAAAGCAAGACTTTTGGGGCCTTCTTTACCTTATTCATAGTTTTTTCAACAAGTCTGGCAGAACTGTATCTGTGCACTTTCACTATGGCTTATGACTGCTCTTATTTTGTATACACAGAGTATAGAGTAACAGTTGTGGCTACTGACCAGTACTATTTACCTATGAAGAAGCAAGGCAGTCAGATGTGTCAATAACTTGACACATGCTTGGAACTATTACAAACACTGTCACAGGAACATCTACATAAATGTAATTAAGATTTCAGACTTTTAATAGTGGTATTACAACAAAAGAGTTAAGTATGCATTGCACCATGCAGACAAATAATCCATATGTTACAGCACCTGCTGTAGTTTTTAACTACCAAACAATCCTAACACGCTAAAAGTCTTCAGCAGCGCAAGGGTCCAAAACCTGGATTTAACATTAACTAATGAAACCTGAAGAATTTTAGATATGTATTCTGCTAGGTAACAGGCTGTCACTGTGTTATCAAGAGAGATTAATTGTATTTGGTGTTTCAGTGCACTTAAGACAATATGCCTTTTTTTAAAGAAAGCAGGATAAAAACTAGGATTTGTACAGTGATGTTTTGGTTTTGTCCTCTTCTTTCCCAGATTCAGAGCCCACAGAGCTCACAGCAGCAAGGCTGAAATTCACCAAATACATTATGTTCCTACGAAATTTCCAAATTGAAAAAGGCTATGGAGGGAAGAGCATCCCATTAAAACTCTTAGCAAAAAAAAGCTTCTAGCAGGACCTTAGGTACAGCAGCCACCAGTGAACCCACGCTCCCACCCAGACATCACCAAGCTCCTCTTAGAGTTCATATTTCATTAAAAGCAGAGCTCAGGACTCCAGGCTTTCTAAGTTACTCCCCACATGCCATTGTTTTTTCTTAATCTGATTTATGGTCACAAAATTCCTTTACTTTTAAAATTCTTTAACCTTCCAAAAGGATGCTCATTTCTCCAACCCTGCGGTGAGCCAGCAGCACCATGTGCTGGCCACATCAGGTGCAAGAGCCACATAGAAAACAAGTCATGTTTATATGGTCAAAACCAAGCATGAGTGACAACAACTTCATGACATTCTTCTAATAAACCACATGTAATTGGACAGGGGAGGGTGCAAGTGAGACAGTTTCCTTACCTTGACTTTCCCTTTGACAAAACTAACAATATCTTCTTTATTGTCAAACACAGACAAAGTATGGAGCAAGTTTTGTTCCAGCCATTCCCAGTGCTGGTTTATTTCCTCTGCAGTGGCACCTAGGAAAGCAAAATAAATAGTATATTGAAACTAATCCTGCAATATAAAATTGAAAGGAAGGGAGGAAAAAGTCATAAAATGCACTATTTCATAAATTCATTAGGAGAAATTGAACTTTCAACCTCAGAATTCTTGGTAGCAAACAGGTCAAAACGGTCTCATTCATAGCAGCATAGTTAGAGAAAAACAAAAACCTCATTGTTTTAGAGAATTAGTTTTAGGGCTTTTAGTTTTATCTTCTCGAACGCTCTCAGCCAGCAAATGCTGCATTAAAAGTCAAAGCAGAAAAAACATCAAAACTTCATCCTGAGCTGCCAGACTGCAGCTTATTCTGACATGACATTCTCTAAGTGGCCACTTGCTTTATGCCCTGTTCCCAAAAGTCCCTGATCTCCTTCTCTCCCTCCCTCAATACACACATGCACACACACACCCACACACAAACACATGCACACCCTTTGAGAGGATTACAAAACCCTCTACAATAAATAAAGTACCTAAAAAAGAGTTTGGTTCAGCAGCACCTAAAGGTTCTACAAGAGCACATTTCTACAGTTTGGGGAAGAAATAAAGCAAACAGAAATCTTTGACTAATAAAGCTTTTCAAATCTTTAAAGCTTCTTTCTCTAAACACCTGAGGGTTTTGCTGGTTCTTTAAATCTAATTTGTTCACACTAACTCCAGAAATAATATTTGCCTCATTACTGATCTGCTTTGGCTCCTTCTGCTTGAAACTGAATTATCTCTGCATGACACAAGGACAGAAAAGTCATAGCAAGATGGGCACCATACAGGGCCAACAAGGGAAAATCTGAGCCCTCCAGATCCTACTGGTCAGTAATTAGACATTATAGGTAAAAAAGTAAAGGTAGTAATAGGTGCTTCTCCTAGTGCCTTGCTTGCGGAAGAAAGAAGAGAAATAGCTGTATGTAAGAGAAATACAAATCACACATGAATATAATAATAAAATTAATCTCAAATAGAAGACCCATTATCTCAAGATTTATTTTGTGTGTACATTAGTGATGCATCATGTTGCCTCACAACAACAAAAAATGATAAATTTAGGTGAGGATTTTCCATTTCCCTCTGCTCTGTTTTCCATGCAGAATGCCAGCTGGCAGGGAAACCTTCCATGCTTTAACTTCCCTGACAGGAAGGTCTTGTAATGGAACTTCTTAAATATCATTAATGAAGGCTAAATTTAAATTTTAAAAAATCATACAATTAGAGACACTTAAAAGCCCTTTAGGCCAAGAAAACAAATTATATAAATGTTTAAGAACACTCGAAATAAGAATAATTTTATATTGAAATGGCTGCACAAAGCAAATACTGAGTTGACTTTTTATTTCTGAGTAACCTACAAGATACCAAGTGTATGGGCAAGCTGTCAGGCTGCCTTTGTGAAATAAGCTGAGAGCAAGATCCCTTTCACAGTAGCATCCCCACTGCTGGGACTGCTCTGAGCCCAGGCAGCAGCTATACTCCACAGGGACTCCTGCAGTATCTCCTACCTGCCCCCAGGGCTTCTGCTCAAATACCAAAAGATCATTTTAGCCCTTTCATTTGGTCAGGCCAACTCAATTTTTTGAGTCCCTTCTTTATTTATAATCTGTATTTCATAGTTTAAAGTTGTTCTGTGATTTGACCCATGCACTGTCAATCTCTTATTTCCATTCCTTATTCCTCTTCTTGTGCTGATGTTCTGCACAGCATTTCATTCCACCTTTTACCACCTTCTTCATCTGCTCATGTCAAGTGTATTGGCAAATCACTGCCTCATTCCTCAGAATATTACCTTTAAACCCACTTCACACCAAATCCTTTGCTCTCCCTCTCCTAAAACCAACTTGGCTTGACTGAGCCTTGAGTTTCTTTTTTGCCCATGAGCCTTCTGAAAGGAAAATTTCAAGTGGCTCTACACAAGGGGTGAGGTTAGACTTTTTTTTCCTGTACTGGTATACCATGATTAACCATCTGGATTAAAACATCTCTGCCAGAACAGCCGTGCAGGGATCAGATTTCCTAGCACCCCTCTGAGATTTGCAAATGTCTGTAACAGACCTGACCCTTATGCATATATTATCATTTAAGCCTACAGCTCCTGGAACAGAAGGCTGCCAACATACAATGCAAAATGTCATTTTAATTAACTGCCTGATGACATGATGGCTGTCCACAATTAAGTTACACTGCAGAGGAGAGACTGGAAGGAGTTCCTGGAACTGCTCCTTGCCCTCACTGTACAGCAGCAGGAACTGGCCACTTCTGTGTGGGGAATGTCCTTCTCGAGCTTCCCAAGAAGGGACTGGAGTGATGCTCCTCTGCCTCCCATTGCCAGCTCTCCCCTGGACACTCATGTCAGGGTTTCACAGCAGCAATATTATTCATGAACAGCTTCTGCTCCATGGTTTAGTTCTGTGCAGCTCTGGCAACTGTGCATGTTCTACCCATGCAGCACCCAAAACAGACCCCTCTGCTTTCCGCTCTATTACTATAAATCTCATTTTCTCAGGGATGAGCATCCATTCAGAAGAGCCAAAGAGAATTTTAGAAAACATTAATCATGTAAGTTTGTCTCAGCAAAATCCTCAGCCATTCCAACACAGCAAGTTTGTCATTTGTAGTTCCTTCAAAAAATAAAAAACCGAAATCAAAAAATCACACCAACTTCTGTGTGCAGTAAGAGTGTGGGTAGGGCAAGGATCAGCCCCAGAAAGTAGCACTGCGTATGTTCAAATAATCAAGAAGCCATGAAAGCTTTTCCAGTGAAAGCTACCTGGTTTCATCACAGGACTGTACCAGCATGAAGCTCTTAAATTTCTCCATGAGAGGGCATTACTTAAATATAAAAAGGAGGGGAGGAGGGATAGAAAGCACAGAGCAATTGCAAAACAAAGAAAACCTAGCCAAAACAAGAATAGCCCAAATGGACTTTATGCAAGCTTCTTCACACACACATCTGGCCCAGGGAAAAATTCCCAGTTGTAATGGGGAACATGCAGAGGGATCTCTGCTGAAGCATGTAGAGAGAAAAGGATTAGGATGAATATATAAACTTATGACTCTTCCACTTAAGGGACTGCTATGTCAAACAGTATCAATGACATATCAAGATTTACATTACCTAACTACTTCATGGCTTGATCTGTATAAGAAAGAACAGAATAGGACAGCATACTGTCACTTGGAAGGAATCTGCAACAATCACAGAATGGAAAGGGTTGGAAGGGACCACAATGGGTCATGAGGTTCAACCTCCCTGGTCAAGCAAGGTTATCCCAGAACACATTGCACAAGATTGTGTCCAAATGGCTCTTGGAAGTCCCCAGTAAGGGACACTCCACAACCACTTTGGGCAATCTGTTCATTTAGTAACAGGCCCACATTATTCTTTGTTTCCCTTTCGTTATTGATGCATTTCAAGAAGCTCTTCTTGTTTTCTTTGAAATCCTGGGAATCATCTAGTCCAACTGCCTGACCCCTTCAGGACAGACCAAAAGCTGAAGTTATTAAGGACATTGTCCAAATGCCTCTTAAACACTGGCAGGTCTGGGGGGACATCAGCCACCTCTCAGAAGGAATCCTGTTCCAGCATCTGGCCATCCTCTCATTAAAGAGATGCTTCCTAATGCTCCCCAGTCACAGCTTTGAACCATTCCCAAAATAAAACTGCTGAAAATTTCAGTGCTAGGATTTTTTAGATGGGAGCAGAAGAGAAAAGAACAGTCCTACACACTGGCCAAGCAACAGTGGGAGGAATGGAACTTCAGATGGCTTTTACTGGGTCATGGCAAGGTTGCAATTCATGTTAATATCACATTCCTGAAGATGAGCTTGACTTTCAGAAGTTGCAGAAACATTACAAAAGGGATTAGTGCGTAACAGATCAGCAATTTGACATCCTCTCCCTCTCCAACAACTTCACCTCCTAAATCTTCCAAATGTACCAGTTATATTTCATTATAGCAAAGTGTGTGAAGACATTTCACAGTAAGCAAGTGAAGGACTAGGCTGGTGAAAGCCTAGACTAAGTAGCTTCTTGCTGTAAGGGATGACCACTACTGTAGGAAAAGATATGCATAGGAACAGAACCACACTACTTTGCAGCAGAGAAAATGAAAGCAGCAAACCCCTCTCAGCTAAACAAGTTTTCCATTGAAACTTAATGTTCCTAGGCAACACTTTTTCAGTGATTTTAACCAGAGGTTAATTTGGTTGTTAAACAAGCTTTCCACACACACACACACACAGCTAGCTGGGGTTACCTTGAGCTTCCTGGACATGCAGACACTGACCATGCTCAGAATCAGTTTGGGGTTTTTTGTCTGTGACTCACCAATAGCTATGGCCCAGTAAACTTCTGATCCACTCAATAACTCACCACATGCAATGGCAGAGTAAACCTGAGAGCCTGGAACTTGGAGTAAAATTCGAAATGGAGCAACGCGGGCATTGGAGTCTAACACGGCGTCCAGGGCACCAACCAAGCGACCTGCCAAGAAAAAAGGGGGAAAAGAGGATTAATGCCAGTTCTCACTTCTGTAGCCTGAAGTTGTTTCACAGTTACAGCCATAAAACTAAAATACAGAATGTAACGATAACAATTCTTCCCCAGTTTTATCTTCTAATTTACAGGTGCTCAGAAGGCAAAAGGCAAACCAGATTAGAAGATCAAAAGCATATAGAAGCCTCTGCATTTCTGGTTTTGCCTCATATATATGAATATAACCACATAACTAAAGTGGAAAGACCTGAGGGCATCTTAAGAAGTTACTGTTCCAGCCCTGCTCTGAAGTTGGATAAATACACCTATGCTCTAAGTGGTGTTTGTCTAACCTGTTCTTCAAAACCCACCACAATCAAGATGCAACAATTTCTCCAGGTAGCCTCTTCCACTATTTTTATTAAATATTCTTACCAAAAAAAAACCAAACAAAAAACCAAACCAACCAAGCAAACAAAAATGACAAAAACCAACCAAACAAAACACAACACAAAAAAAACCCAAACCAAACAAAAACCCTAACAAACAACCCTACCCTAAACAAACACGTCAACTACTACAATCTTAAGATCTGGAACATGCAGAGTAATTGGCCACAGACACTTCTGATACTAATGTTCAACATAACAAAAAATTATCATGGTTTCCCATCCTTTAATGATTTCTCTCTATTTCTAGAGAAACCCAAATCACTTCATCTATTCCTTATGGGTCATGTTTTTCAAACAGCTCACTGCTCTTGAACTTACACTGGAATCTCTCCAGCTTATCTTTAAAAATTACACTCAACTGGACCTGATGCTCACTGCTACTGAAGTCTCAGCCACTGGCAGAAGGGAAGATCACCTCCTGTATCTTGCATCCCTACCACTGTATCCAAGAAAGCTTGCAGAAGTATTCCACTGCAAATCACCACTTGACTTCAGTACAGACAAATTCATTTTGAAGAGCTGCAGCAATTGCTGACCCCAAAATGACTTTCCAGTCTGGAGGACACCTGGAGTTCCTGGAGTTTCTTGCTACCCATTCCCCTGAGCAGGTAAAACCAAGCTATCCATAAAAAAGTGATCTGAATGCCATGATTTGCATATGCAAGCTGGCATATTAAAGTAACTCAGAATTGGTTTAAGGTGCTTACAAATAGCAATTCAGGGCAGCTTTATACTCAGTTTTCCCATGCATTCTGCAGAGACACAATCTCCTAAGGAGTGGGATGGCAGAGAGTGAGGAACAGCTTTACTATGTTTGTTTTATCCCTACAGTATCTAGGAAGTTTTCCATAATACTTTTATTTGCTTTGCACATGTAACTTTTTAAACCTGTAGTATTTTTGTTTCTTCACCATTAACCCAACACAAAAGGAACTAATCTCCATCTCCAAAAGGTTTGCCAGCCCTTGGCACCACATGCTGTTTTAAATATGGCATTCTCCAGTCCATCACCCAAGTGATTAATGGAAATAATAGAGACCTATAAAGTCCTAATTGCCTTCTCACTTGGATAACAAATGACAGCCAATTAATTTGAGTATAACACAACCAAACAGCATTTGAACCACTTTCAGGTCCAGGAGCTGTAAGAAGCTCACATGGAACAGCATCAATAACCTGAGAGCAAAGAGAATTACATTAAATACTTCCTCCTTGCACACACACAAAACATCAATGATGCTTTCAAAGCCAAGCAGAACTTGGATGCAATATGTCTTAAAACTGAACAGTGAAACATTGTTCAACAGCAGTTTGCTTCTCACTTAAATATGTGACCAGATATTACACCCATCTATTTAAAATGGAGATCTGAATTTGCAGACTGATGACATGTATAATACCTGAAATTGCTACATGCTCTCCTATAACTACAAGAAAAAAGCATAAAAACTCATCCTAGTATAAAAGGTATCAAATTAGCTGTGCTCACAGAAAACAGTATGCAGAAAACTTTAGTGTGCAGTCTTCAAAACATTGGATTAAAGCCAGTAAGAGAGCATTTAATGATGCAGAGAACAGAAATAGAGTTTAACTTCCAAATTTCAGAATTGATGATAGGCCTAGGAGAAAGATTCTTTTTCATTTCACTAAAGTCATAGAAAAAAGTCAACTAACAGCAAGTGCTACCAAAATCCCTAGAGAATGCTTAATGAAAATATGACTTGTGAAATATCTTTTTTTCCTTTCAGAAACCATGAAAAAACCACATGACAGCACAGAAGTAGCTGCAAAGTTTTGCCTTACTAATTCTTAGCCTGTGCAAAATTAATTCCTTTTTCTCTTCCTGAATAACAGACCAGAAAACCCAATTCCTCTTCTAACTGTTTACTTCTGCTTACAATTTCCATTTTGCTTACAAACTATTAAAAAGAAACCCATTCCTCCTTCAACTGTACAAAGAAATAATCACCTCCCTTTTCTAAACTACTCATAGCTAAAATATTAACTCAGGATGACAAAGAGGAGCCAGAACTGAGACACAAAGAGAAGAAAAAGAACGTGGACATCAGGATACATGGCAGAATAAAGCCCAGGTGGCCTGGCCCCTCTAGGAGTGCTTTGCAAGGGAACAGCAACCCCACACATAAATCCCAAGCCATCCACAGGGAGTCCTGTCCTGTCCCACCTCTGCCAGGAGGGGCTGCAGTGGGGTCATAAGGGGAGCAAAGGAAAATCAGAGCACTTTAGAAAACTGCTAAAGTTGAGCAAGCACAAAGAGTGGGTCCCATCCCCGTGTTTGGGGGCTCCTTTATTTTTTGGCTGAGAGACTGACAAGTGATAGAGAACAGAGAAAAGAGATTACTAAGAGTGCATTTGCAAAAGCATGAAAAGGATTTAACATTAATATACACACACCCTGGCCAATATGATAATTTAGTTCAAACTGTGGTAGCAAAAAAATTACAAAAACTAGAGGCAAATTTTTTTCCAGGGTAAGTTGCCTCATAATTCATTTGGGGTAACTTTTGCATCATAACATTGAAAAACAACCAACCTAAAGATTCCTGAGTGAAGAAACAAACAACAGTAAACTGATGTTGAAACTTATGCTATGAAAAATACCCAGCTTGTGAGCAAACACCTTCCTCATAACATGTCCAAACAGCTGGTTCCATGGAAGGGTCTCTTATAAAACAGAATCTGTTTAAAAAACAGAAGGGTATCTGGCTAGCAAGATAAATTACATTAAGAGCCTCTGGCTCACATACTGATGCATCAGCTTGCCTTCAGTCAGGGTGATGCAGACCTCTTCCATATCATAGATGAAAGTGAAACCATTTATAATTCAGAACAGCAAAAAATGAAAAGGAAACAGAAGCAGAAGAGGGAAAGAGAACTGCTACCCTGGTTTTCTTCCCAAAACTCCTTTTTTTTTTTCCCACCCTATATGAGACAAGATTTTTGGGAGGAACTTAAAATTCAGAGTAGCTCTTCCCCTTTAATGAGCCACTTCACCAGCTTCTTCTCCATTTTCTGACCTCCCAAGACACAGAAATATTTCAGGAAAAGCAATTTACCATACAGTAACTGTACTATGGAAAGCTGCAGACATCGGTTTACAAAGCCTCTCACGAAAGACCACTGACAGAACATTGCAGGTTCCTCAAAAGGTGCAAGTTTCTTCATGCAGAAGGAATATTTTTAGGCTAAAATTCATAGGCAGATGTCTGGTGTAATATGCATACTTTTGACACATATGGAGAAGAAAGAGAAGTGGAAAGACACTTTTCTACTGAAGTTATATGCTTCTCAATAAATCTAAACACTTTAGCTGGAAGCTGGATTTCAGATAGAGGCAACATCTATCTATATTTTTCAGAAGTATATTTATAAAACATATCTGGAAAACTCACTAGAAATCCCATGCTTTATTTGGTAGTTTTTATTTCACTGAAACATCTACTTTCATGCATATTTGGTTGCTTGACTAAAGAAAACATCTTCAAGTAAAATACATCTATTTGTATCAAATGTATGTGCATACTTTGGATACAATAGAAGAAATAAATTTAAGTTTAAAATTAGCATGAAACAATTTCAAATTCTACAACAGGTAGGTAGCGTCTCTGCTTTACAGAGGTCAACCTGTAACCACATAGAACACAAACAGGACATCATGAATTTGCTGAGCATTTCTTCACACGCTTATAAAAAATTAATCAAGGATATTTCTATAAGGATCAGGTTCTCAAATGAACTATCAAAAGTGAACTACTCTTCATCTTAAAAGATATGGTTTCTCCTCCCATTTAAAGATAAAAAATTGCATTACAATGTCTCTTGTGTCATGTTCACAACTAACCTAGTAAAAGGAACATGTTTACATTAAGTTAACTTTACACCAACTTCTACTAAATGTTCCATATCTTTCAAATTAAAGAATGCAGGCTCCTTTCCCAAATCACTGTTAATCATCTATGTGGGATTTCTAAAATCATTTTAAACTTCGAAGACATGGGGCAGAGGGTGAGTAAAGTTGAACTCAAAACTCAAACTGAAAAACCATCTATTATTTCCATCTTTTATGACAATATTCAAGAGGCAGTCCAAGATACCCTCTACATACAGCAAGATGATTTCTACCTACCTCCATCATATATGAAAGGCCTTAAAGGGAAATTTTTGAGAACTACTCAAAAGTGGGGTGGCCACTTCAGCAGCTAAACAATGCTGCAAGGCAGAGGGACTTAGGAGTCCGGGACTAACAAGTTAATAAAACCCTCCCCAAAAAAATAAGAAAGGGAAAAAGTCCAAAACTGCTATTTTTTTTTTTTTGGGGGGGGGGGGTGGGAAGTGGAGGGAGGCACTGGGGGAAGAAGAACAGGGAGAAGATAAAAAAGGAGATTTAAATCTAAGTGACAAGGAAGCCTGCGGTGTCACAACACTCAGCACCATTACCCTTTCAGTTCTCCTTGGTTTTTAAGTAAGACACACAGTCACCACAGCCAGGATCTTTTGATTAACATGAACTCATCCATCCATTACAAACTGGGGAAT